TGCTTGTCAGTGTGGTTAATGTTTCCATACTTCAAAAAGAAAACAGAGGCTAACTTAATTGTTTGAGATACCCATCACTGCAACAGTTGACTATCATAAGTGCACAACGTAAAAGGCTGCTGACCAGCTAGTAAATACTGCCAGGGTGATTAATAACTTCATTTTACTGCTGCATGCAAAATCTTGGCCATGCTTCACTTTAACAGCGACTACGATCAACCCTGGAGCTTACGCAGCCTGTGTTCTGCAGTCGGGTTGTCCTACTTGATGCACTTAGTGAGTCACTTTTAATCACTGTTCATCGATTAACAAGATAAAGCTGCTCAAACTCCGATGCCCTTTTGCAGATTAATCAGGATCTCTTCTGCCATTTTTTAAGCCAAAACTTGAAGATGCAGCTAACTGGCTTAGAAAATGTTGAGATTCTTGCTGGTGAAGGAAAAGCTTTGGCATCCTAGGAGCTGTGACTCCGAGTCCCTGGCTGGAGAGGAAGGTTATGCCTAGGAGCCGCTGGCAGAAAAATCTGGTTGGCAGGCTTCATGGTCCTGTGAGATGGAGATGTCTGAACTGCTTGGGAGGGAAAATTAAAGCTGTCCCATGCCAGTTGAGTAGGAAACCATGCATTTTTCAATTCTGCATCCTCAATTGCCCCTGCTCTCCCTATGGCACAGACTGGGTGTGAGAGAGGACGTTGCCTTCTCTCGATAGAGCCATCCGCTCTTGTCCGAGGAGTTGTGGCAGATGAGTCGGTAAGAAAAACCCTTCCCATGGGTGCATCATGCCGGGTAATCTGCCAAGCTGCAGCACAAATCAATGTTGCTTGTTCTGCTACTAGTTTGATCGTGTGTGTGTACAGTGTTATATCAAGGAGGGAACATGTGCTCTCTCTGTCAGTGAAATGAATAAGGCACGCCTCGTGAACAGGGAGTAGCTTGTGTGGGCAGCAATGATGGAGCTGGAGAGAGGCAATTAATCTGTCTGACCCATCCAGCTGCTTCTCTTTGGCTCTAGGAGAATGCATTATTGAATTTTATTGTTTAATAATTAAGTTGTGGTAGTACCAGAGGACAAGGAATAGGATAGAAAATAGGATACAAAAAAGAGAATTTCATCCTATAAATTAATGGCCTGATCTCTTGAGAGCTGTCACATACCCACTGCAAAAATGAGCACTGTGAAATAACAGGGACACCTAAACCAGCTGGGGACCAAGAAAAACACTTGTAGGATGAGGTGGAAGAGGGTGGGAGTTTATCTGAGAAAAGAAACGGAGAGGCACACATGATGCATCACATGTGCTGGGGTGCTTTTGTTCTTCTGAAGTGTAAGATTCAGACAACCAAGAAACAAAATTAAAAAGTAAGCCCATCAGCTGAGCTGCGCCCAAGCTCCCTGTGGGACACACTCATGCAGGGTCATGGTGCCTGTGTTTCTGAGAAATGCAAATTGAGGCATTCCGTACAGTTATTAACTGACATACCTTCTGACAGGCACTTCTGTAAACTTACTTCTAGCTATTAAAAACCTGGGAGGATCAGCCTGAATAATGCTTCTAATGGAAAACATTCAGTTTCCTACAAGGAGATGTCAAACTTATGTGACTGTGAGACTCGCCGTTAAATGCGAGGAATGGCGGCAGCATGCTCTGGGTTTAGTGCTCAGGTCCCATCAAGTTTGTGAACAAGATTGATTTTTCTGTTCTGCCTGACAGAGGGTGCGAGCAGGGATCTCGCACCAGCGTTCAGGCTTTGATGGTGTAACGAGATAGGCTTCTCCCCGCGGGGAGGGATGAGTTTGAGCTGGTGCCGCAGCAGATGGAGGCTGCAACTGATGTGCAGCACCAAAGCCCACGAGCCCCCGTCCCGTCCCGGCTCTGCTCTCAGGGCACACGTCTCCCCGCGTCCTCCAGCCGCTGGGAGAAGGGCCGGTTCTGTGGCAGCGTGAGCCCCGGCTCTGGGACTGCGCTCGGGTCACCGCTCTGCAGAGCCGGGAGGAGATGCTCGAGGGTTTGGGGAAGCTCAAACCTTGTCCCCAGCGTGCAGGGACTGCGGCGTCTGGGGGTCTGCCAATCCTCTGCCTCTTCGGGATGGGCACAGCCTGTGTTCAGCTCGCTCTCAGTGGCTCTTTCAGCAGAGTCCCCCAAGTGCTCGGTGCTTGTGCTGGGTTTCTCTGTTGAAATCTGGCTGCTGCCCCCGTTGGGGTAGGATGTGCTCTCAGGCTTCCGCTCTCTGGAAGTGACTGTGCCCTCCGTGTGTGGGGTGTTGGGATCACTAGTGGGCCACTGGTGATATTTCTGCCCTGTACTGTGGTCAGTACTGCCTAACTAAAGCAAAAGGCAAACTATGTCTCCATTGTGTGAATGTAACATTAGTTTTGGTTTGGTTTCTCAAATGTAAAGAGGAAGCTGGAAGTTTTGGGAGTAATTTAAACATTTGCTAGTTTTTCCTGTTTTATCTAGCACCCTAGGTAGGGAGTGACATTTACTATGTATTGTGGCTCACTGTCTTAATCTTACTTCTCTGTTGTGTTTGTCAAGCCCGTGCTTTTAAAGGTTAGTTTTATCCGGTATTGGAGGCGTGCAGACTGTGAGATAGGGGAGGTGAGTACAGAACCGCAGGCTCTCCAGTCCCATACTGGCAGCAGCTGTTGCTGAGAGCTTGCAAGATCAAGGAGCAAATGTCAATTCTTCTTCCTAGAAAGGCATATTTTCCTAGAAATCCCTCCTCCAGCGTCTCTTGGGAGAGGATGCTCCAGCTGTCCAGCAGGCAGTGACAGCTGGTGAAGGTGTCTGGGCCTCCCTTGCAGCCAGTGAGAGCAACGAGGGCTCCTGGCACAGGATCGTCTCACCCAGTGCCAACATCGCAGGCAGGTCAGGCAGAGAAGAAACGCCTGCATGTCTCCGGTGACTGCTGCAGGGTCCCGATGTCCAGCTCGGTCATCCGCTCAGCTGGCCAGAGCCCACCGATGAGGCTGCCCTTTGTGTCTGGGTGACCACAGCATGCCCTGAAATGCTTTGTCTTGTCCATTTCAGCCAGGAATCACAGCCAAGAGGAGCCCAGAAATAACCTGCTGGGTTTGGTTCCCTCAGTTTTAAAAAGTTTTGGGTTTTTTTAATTCTCCATTTTAACAATTTAACTCTTGAGTTTTGCTATAGAAATGTAACGTTGAGTCCACATCAGTTGGAAAGTTGCAATTTCCATTCCAGTTACAAGGAAGTCTCTCTTCATTACTTGGGCATGACTGGAATGGGCTTGAGGAGGCCACATCTGTTGCTTTCTGCAGGCTTTGCTTGTGTTGGGTGGCAAGACAGCACAAGATCTTGTCTGGCAAAGAGCAAGGCTTTTAGGCAGCTCTTGAAAGGCTGTATCTGTTATGTAAGAAAAGCAAAAATCTCATGTGTGATGCTGCTCTCAGCTCTGCCAAGCTGCTGTCTGTTGTGTGCCGGTGGCCAGGGGATGAAGGGACCGCTGGGAGTACAAACCTCAGCCACGCTGCTGTGGTCCCTCCCCATGTGTGACTGTAGGGCACTGAATTTCTAAAGGCCTTGTGGTAGGTGAAATATCCTCCTCTTAAATGTTCACCCATTTTCAGCGTCCCAGGGAAGGATTCTCCCTGCCCTGTGCTATGTCTAGTGCTTTGTCCTCAGATCACAGCTGTAGCTGCCAGCTTTATATCATGCTAAAAATTAATGAACCAGAGTGCACTGGAATAATCTGCTTTAAAAGGAACAGTCTCAGCAGCCAACTACTTAAAAATGATAAGAGAGGGGACTGCGTTACTGGAGCTGTTCATCTAGGAACTTTACAAGTGATTAAGTTTAAATATTCAGGCAGCTGATGAAGGGATAGCAGACAGCAGCACCACATCAAGAAGATGAAGCAGCCAAGCAAAATGTGAGTGCTTCTGTTTGGCTTGAAATCCAGCTGAGACAAACTCCTGCCCCTCGGGCTGGCCTTGCTGGGGGTCACCTCTCAGTGTGGAGGGTCTGCCAGCCGGAGGGGACCCCTGCGCCGGCCGGCAGGAGCGTGCGCTGAGCACACTTGCCCCATCCCTTACTGCTGGGGACACCCAGCAATGCCAGGCACACGTTTGTATGCAGGCTGCTTCCTTTTCAGATGTTTTAAGGTCAAACTGAGACTGTTGCGAACTGCTTTATGGAGTTTTGCAGCCTTTGTTGTTGTTTTCATGAAGCGATAAGTCTTTCATAGCTTCTGGGTGTCCTGCTAGGAGTATTGCTTATAGGCTGCATGCTGCTGGTAGTAAAGATCAAGCAAATCCTTGACCGGTGTGTGAATTACTTGTTTGTGTATCAAAGGTGCTTCTCGAAGTATTAAGGGAAGCCTGTGTATGACTTATAAAAGAAAATTTATACTACTGTTTAACTTCAGCACATACCTCGCTGTCCACAGTGACTGCTGTATAATCCACAATGATAAAGCTGTAGCTGCTAGTGACATGGCCTTGTGACTTGGGTTTGTATATGAAGCTCTGGTGACTGATGAGGTCTCCGACTTCTCTGTTTTCAATATTCCTCTCGTTTTGGGGTTGTTGCTGAGTCTTGCTGTGGCTCCCGTGTCATTTCTGCTCTGCTCACCTGACTCTAAACCCTAAGCCATGTGTTTTCCATATCCTGCATCTTTCCGTAGCCACCTTGTCCCCCATGTCCCTTCAGAACCTCCAGCTCCCTTTGCATGTTGCCTCAGCCGTCTGGATGTCTGACCATTCCTCCAGCCCCTCCCCAGCCCCTTGAAAGAGTCCCCCAGCCTGGAGGTCAGTGCAGAGCTACAGCATCTAAATGTCTCTTCTGGGTCAAACCAAAGGCACATCTCTCTTGGTGCCAGGATCATGCAGGTGCTCAGGGAAAGTAGCCTGGAGGCTGATATCTGCTGGCCAGTGGCAGGCAAAGGATGTCCCAAGAAACGGGGAAATGCAGTCATCAAACGTGTCTCCCATTCACCTTGTGGTGTTCCTCCCATAACTGCCTCTCTCTGTCTTTTCAGCTTGCCTTCCTGGATTTTACAAGCTTTCCCTCCGTCTCCCTCTCTGCTCCCCTTGCCCTGAGCACAGCTTCACGCATGAGGAAGCCTCCACGTTCTGTTCATGCCAGAAGAACTACTCCAGGTCTCCATCAGACCCACCATCTGCCTCCTGCACACGTACGTCTCACTGAAACGGCAGCTCTTTGTAAAGCGAGGAAACGGGGATCCAGACACTGTGTCTGTCCCGTGGTGCAGAGCCGAGCGGATGCCCGGGAGGCTGTCCGAGCCTGTCCCCCTGCCAGCACGTGCCAGCCTGTGCTGGCCCATGGGAGCTGCTGTCCCTGGGCAGCCCTGTCCGCACTGGGGTACTGCCCCAGTCGGGAGGGGATGGAGGGGCTGTCCTGTCCCTACGCCACAAAGCTTGCAGGCTGAGGCTGCAATCTGCTGAGACAGACGCGTTGGTCGGGCTTGCAGACTCCCTGGCAAAACTAGGGCACGGTCATTTAGTCAATATAGATCACAGATTTTAATTAAATGGCCTCCAGTTAATTGGATTGGACCCCAGCTACTCCAGTGATGGATGCTGTACAACTGCCCGCACAGCGATGAAAAACCCTCCCGCTTTGCCCGAAGGCAAGCATGGCTGGGCCGTGTCCGACCAGCAGTGGGGCTCCTGGGGCCCTTCCAGCCGATCCCCAGGGAGGTGCCAGGTCCGGCCAGGCGCTCCTCATGCGCTGTGTGAGCTGTTGCTTGCCGTGCATACCCGTCCCTCCGGCGGGGATCCTCCGTCTGGTGTCCCCACCGTGCCGCACGCATCGATGCATCCGCATCCCCTTGTGCTGCCACGTGCGGCGGCTGCCCGGGACCGTGCTCTCTTGCTCTGCCACGGGTGCCTGTGCTGCTGCTCCCAGAGGACCCGTAGGTTTTCCCTGCTCCCCAGGCAGCACCCGGCTGTCCCGGTGCCTGTGCACAGACACTCTTCTGCTTCCAGGTCCGCCCTCTGCCCCACGGAACCTGGTCTACAGCCTGCGGCAGTCGTCGCTGGTCCTGGAGTGGAGTGCCCCGGCTGACGCGGGTGGCCGGAGCGACCTGACCTACAGCCTGTGGTGCAGCCAGTGCCCGGCGGCTCCGCGGGGCCGCTGCGAGCAGTGCGGCAGCAGCGTGGGTTTTGTGCCGCAGCAGACGGGGCTCGTGGACCGGACCGTCACCCTGGTGAACCTGCTGCCTCACATCAACTACACCATCCGCGTGGCGGCTGTCAACGGCGTCTCGGGCGTCAGCCCGCTGTCAGGGCAGCAGTACGCCGAGGTGAACGTCTCCATCAGCCTCGCAGGTATGGCTGCCGCGTAGCGCACCTGACGGCTGAAGGTGAGCGGTGCCTCGCCCCCACCGCGCCAAGAAAGCAGTTGCCCGTGCTGTCTTACGCTTGCGCGTCACCTCTGGGGCGTGTGGTCTGCTCGGCAGCCGGTTCTGTGGCTTCGTCGCTGGGAGGACGCGGGTCTGGAGGTGGCGCGGGCGCTGTCCTCGGGCTCTGCGCGCCTGACGCTGCCGCGGTGCCCCAGTTCCTCTCAGTTTGCTCAGGTGGCACAGACGTGGTGCTCAGCGGCGGCAGGCAGCGCAGGCAGGAGGGGGAGATGGAGACGGAGCTGCAACACTCCCGGGGGGGTTTTGGTTGGTGCCACGGGCAGGCGAGGAGCTGGCTGTACTGGAGGAGCCTGTGGCCCCGTTGTCTCCCACTGCACTGGCTCACAGGTGGGTGGCAGTGAGCGTGGTGACAGCCTGGGCTCCTCCAAAGGGACAAGTCTGCTCTGCGATCTAGCTGCCGTTTGAATTTACAAATCAAAATAAAAGCACCTTCAAAGAAGCAACGTTTTCAGCCTATTCACAAAAAAACCCTCGTTAAAATAGATAATTCCAATATTGGCCGTCCTTTGGAAACAAAAAAACTGATTTAATTGCTCTCTTCTATGTCAGTCTGTGGCACAATTTCTTACTGTAAGTGTCCCCTTCCACTTTACGTTTTGCATTTCTGTTCCCTTATGTGAGGTGAAGTGAGCACCCAGCCTGCCTGTGCAGATGGGGCCCCTGGCTGGGTTTGATCCCTCCTCAATTGTTAGCTGTGCCTAAGGAAAATCAGCTCTGGCTTGTTGTGTCCTTGTCTGTTCCTCTGTGGTTACGTTATTAATTTGCATGAAAGCCCTTTGCCAAGCCACAGTTAATGGAGACAGATGATCCTCACATACCTCTTGGCAGGAATTGGCCAACAATTTCATCTGAAGAGATTAAACTTTGATCTTGTTATAAATAATTTTCCCACCACTTGATCAAATGTTTTTGCGTGTGTCGTTGCTTTCTCTTCCCTCATATAATAATTTCTGTGAATCCGTTGGGTGGATGCTGTGCCGCAGACTGCTCTTCAGTGGAGGTGTCATTTCTCATTAGGATCTTTGCTGTTCAAGGATGGATTTAGCTCTGGGAAGATCTTCTGTCTCCTGAGCTCCGGCTATTCCTGAGCCAGCGTACAAGCTAGGGAGGGGTGAGCTCAACAAGGTCTAATAACAAGCTGTTCCTCCAGAGGCTTCTGCCTGGTGTTGGGCAGAGGGACCAGTGCTCAGGAGCTGTGTCCTTGCCTGGAGCTTCAGGTCTGAGCCGGGGACAAGAGGCTGGGTAAGGGCAGCAAGTGCCCTGTCCTCTGTAGGGAGTGAAGCCGCAGGACTGTGATACCAACCCATGCCCTAGCCGTTCATCTGTTTAATACAGCTTTTCTTCTGGATAAGTGAGAATCTCAACCCCTTACTCAACACTGTGTACTCCTGAAGGAACTGAAATATGCATAAAGAATATGGCATAATTAATCTTGTAATCTGTTCAAAATCAATGTCTCTTGTCGAGCTGTCAAGTCTCCGGATGCAGATGGTGGCTCAGAATTAGCTGAGCAGCTGAGGCTCGGGAAGTTTCTTGAAACACTTAAATTTTTTGCTGCCGAAGGTGTCCCCTCCTGGGGCAGTGCCAGGCTGGAGCTGCTCCGTCTGCAGGTGCCCAGGTGGCCCAGTTCCTCTTGATTTGGCACTGTGGGCGAGAAGTGACAGTGATGATTAACCTGCACCTATTGGCAAAGAGGGGGAGAAGGTCATCTCCTGGGGAAGTGGCTTCTCAGTCTGGTTTGCCTGTAACACCCCTCTGGGGCAAGAGCCTCCCTGCTGCGAGGAGGGCTCTGCGTGGGATGGGACCCTGCGCGGGCAGGCGGTGGCGCGGGCAGGACGCGGAGCCACGGCTGGCACGGACGGTTTGCGGAGTGTGCCACCTCCAGCGAGTCCTGAGCCCTGGAGCCCCTCGTCATTAAAGCCCATCACAGAAGTGCCGGATGGGGCCAGAGATAAGGAGAAAGGGAGACTTGAGGGATGCCTGGAGCAGCAGTGACTTCCTTGGCAGCTGCGATGCAATGGTCTCAGGGAAGTGATTTGCAGCAGCAGGGAAGCTCTGGCTGCAGATACGCAAACTCAGAGGAAAAATTAAACAAAGAAACAAGACCCTATTTAGCTGTCAGATCCCTGCTCCTCTAAATATAGCTCTGAGTGCAGCTTTCGCACTGCCCTTCCCCTTCAGCAGTCACAAGAGGGAATTAGCAGTTGTTCATTGTATTTGCAGGGGAAAAGAAAAGATGCTATTTAGTCTGCAGGAGGCAAAATTAATACTGTGTTTTTTCTAATCTGGCCCCAGCATGGGACTAAATAAAAGTGTTTGAGGAGAGAACGGAGCTGTTTACCTGCAGGAGTAGAGCTGCATTAGCTATGTAAATGTACACTCTGGGACGATGTCATTTATATTCCCAGCAGGGATAGGCTCCTATCTTAAAGGGCTTTTAAATCTGTTGCAGATTAATAATGCAGCCAGTGCCGAAATGCATTCTCCTTTCTGAGTCTACAGAGAAGCGGTTTGTGCTGAGTTAGGTCCTCTGAAGTAGACTTCTCTGTGCCCGCTTGTTGCTGGTGCGGCAACACCAGCCCAGCCCCAGCCAGGAGGGGCGGTGGGTCCACAGGACGAGCCGGCTCCAGGGCGAGGGTCTGCGCTCACGGGGTCTTTGCTCCCCACGCAGTGAGAACTGGACCTGGAAGAGCTGTACGGTAACTGATGAGGCTGCTTCTCTGGTTTGGAAAGAAGGATGCTGGGGCAGGCATTGCCTCGGACAGTGCCCAGTGCGTTTTCTGCGTTGCAGTGTTAATAACTGGTGACGGAGGGGAGCGGCTGGCTCTCCCTAGTGCGAGCTGTGCCGTGGTGCAGGGCGGCAGAGGTATTCGGGGGCGATGGGGACTTCTCTCCGTCTGATTGCCGCTCACCCCACGTGGGGAGCACAACAGACGGGTTGTGGTCTGCTCTCGTTTGCTGCGTGTCTGCTCAGCTGCCCCAGTCCCGCAAAGGTGCAGAGAGAGCGTTCCTGGAGGCGCTGGGTGCTGGGGCTGGGCACCAAAGAGGCTATTCCTGCTGCCTGGCCTGCAGGCACTTGGTGCAGCTCCATTTTTAAGTGCTTGCTGTTGTCCCTCTTCAAGGGTCCCCTTTGGGTTTTGGATGCAGCGGGTCATTCAGTGGAGAAACACTGTGGCCACACCTAGTTTTATGCCTTTTCTGCTGGTATACTGGTTAATTAAGAGGGGTAAACCCACCGCCAGCAACAGAATGGAGTTTATAAAATCAGGCAGAGTGGTGAATAATTTAATGTTTGCTTTTTCAGAATAGAGGTAATGTTAGGCGAGCTTAAAATATTGATGGGAAACACATTTTTTTCACAGTGTGAAATGCTTTATAGTCTGTGTGATTTTCTTTAATGCCTTTTAAACATGTTTGAGGCTAGTGCCTGCTTTCCTGGCATGTACCATGGGTTCTGGTCTACAGCCCATCACTAAATGAGTGTGATTTTTCCCGATGACTTTGTTAACAGTCAGGACCACTTGTTCAGGTTTCTTCAGTCCATTTGCTAGATTCAGAGATACAGAAGGGCATCTGTGTGATATTTTATTGATGGGAATTATATAAAACAGCAAGGAGCACTTAACTTAGTTTACAGGAGCAAAACTCAAGTTAAGTGTCAGGCTGGCCTCAGCCGCCTGTATCACTTGTTTTGTAAAACGTGCGGTGACATGTGCTCATGCAGAGGCCACAGGCTCGTGGTGGGGATTACCCTGCTGTCCCAGCGATGAAAGCTGTGAGCGTGCCCGTGTGCATTTCTGTTTGTGCACGTGGGTCAGTGTGTCTTTATGAGACTGATGAAGGAAGTTGAGAATATTTCTCTTTTTTTTTTTTTTCTTATCTTACTGAAACACTTCTTGCCCATGAAAGTCATTCTCACCACTCCGCCCCAGCAGCAAATGCCATATTACAGCCTGTGCTAGCCTAAACCTGGCTCTGATGAAGTGGGAATAAGGAGCAATTTGCCAGGTTTGGAGCAAAAGTGTGCCAAACCGGTGCAAATTCCGTCATACTCATTATTGGTGTTTGAAGTAGCACCTCGACAGGGCACAGGGCTTCCTGACGGTACCAGCAGGGTTGAAGGTCTCTGGCAGAGGAGGGGAACCTTTGCCGCACACGGGTGCTGCTGGCGCTGCCCATTTCCCATGTGCTGTGGTACAGACTGGTGCGAGGAGGACGGCAGCACCATGTGCGCCGTGGGATTGCTGTGCTGGAGGAGTCTCAGGCCTCCCTTGTGCGAAAAGCCTGGGCAAAAAATGCGGGAGGTCCAAAAGGGGTCCTGTCCCGCTTGGCCTGGTGGGAGCGTTAATAACCTTTCTGCCTTGCTTCGTGCTGCCGGGGTGAGCTTGCTTCCCCTTCTTTACACATGGACAGTTTGGTATCCCCTTAAAGGTCAGCTCTGGGGCCAGCGTCTTTACTCAGAGAACTACTTTTAAAAACATGAAAGGACACTCAGCCTGATTGCAGCAGAGGGAGCTGTGGGCAGGGGCTGTCAGCTCGCTCGAGCGCGGGAGCTCCCGGCTGCCCTTCGGGTCCTCCCGCTCTTTCAGCAGAAGCCGAAGGGACTTGGAATCAATGAGCAAGTCATCATGAATAAAACATCAGGAGGACTTTTTTCTTCAGCAAAGATTAATGAGCTAAGTAATAAATACAAAATTTCACAGATACTTAAGTTTACTTTCCAGGGACTTGTTCCTCTCCACAGGAGTCTCTGTGGGTTAGTCAGGGTCCAGCAAATGTCCTGATTTGATGGAGAAGTGGGACAAGCTAGAAGCAGCCGATTTCCCCATGCAGCTTTCACTGTGCCTGCTGCAGGGCCGCTGGTGTAAGCGGGTGAATTGGTCACTGCAGCCCCTTCGCCTTGGTGTGTTCTGGCCCTTGGTGCTTCCCGGGGTGATCCAGGGACCGCTCTTCCTTGTGCCAGGACTGTGCCTTCCAGCCGTGGCCAGGCTGATGGCTGCTGAGGGCAGGCTGGGCCACCCAAAGCCACAGTTATGGGAGGCTTTTCTGCTGTTCCCTGTTCTCTCCTCAGCTGGAGAGGAGACTTTCTGCCTCCTGACCAGGACAGCTTGTGGCACTGCCCCAGGAGAGCTGTGAAGACCTTACTTGGCGTGTTCAGCCACTGGTGAGGTCAGTTTTTCTAATCAATCCTAATTTTCTCTCTAATCAATCCAAAGCAGAGCGAGGGGCTGCAATAGAAGCTTTTATCAAGGCACCAGGTACAAAGTTTATTTGCCCTACTAAAATATTTAGTGTCTCTCTTGACTAGTACCTTTGCAGCAAAGACACTGATGTCCTAGCACGACCTAAGCAGTCCCTTCCTCCCTCCTCTTGTTGCTGAATGCCCTGGCCATGGGCAGATCACCGCGTCTGAGCCGCTGCTGCCTTGCTCTGGGCAGTCAGGGGATGCCATGTCCTTGGCTGGCTCCTGAGGTGCTGCAGACAGTCCGACAGGTCCAGCTGGCTTTCCACTGGTGCAGGAGGCTTTTGGAAGAGCTGCTGGGATGCTGCCTGCAGGCCGGGAGCCCAGCGCAGACAGTGCTGCTGCCTGTCAGCTGCGGGAGCTGTACGGGCACTGAGCGCAGGTCAGCGGCTTGAAGGCAGGAGAAGGTGGTCGGAGGAGGAGGCCCTGGGAAAGCAGGGATGAGCACAGCAGGGTAAGGCGGGCAGACCCTTCTCTGCTCCTGTGAACAGCAAAGGTGTCAGGCAGAGAGCCTGTGGATAGCTGGGGACAGCGAGCTGCCTGCTGCGTGCTGGAGAAGTCAGCTTGTCTGGAGCCAAACCTGATTAAAATGGGAATAGTTGGCAAGTGCATCTTGCATAGTGAGATGAACTAAACGGGAGCACGCATGCCAGGGAGAAAGATTCAGCGTGGAGCATGTGCTAACTAGAAATAAACAGCCAGCTCCTGGGGCACAGGCTGTGTGCTCGGCAGCGGGTAGGGCAGGCAGCTCTCCCATCTTCCCGGCTGTCCGGAGTGGTGTGGGGCAAAGCCTGTGCCAGGGTGGCTGGAGGCGGCTGGAGAAGCCTTGGTATGTCCTACAAGCCCTCCTGCTCAAAGATTGTATTTTGTGTTTCCCAGAAATCCTTAGCAGCAGGTTCAGAGTACCGAACGTTAGCTGGTGCTCAGACCCCTCTGCAGCGCGGTGCAATTAGGGTTTTATGCTTGTTTTCAGTCAGAGCGTTACTAGCTGCCCACAGATTACAAAGCTGTTGTATTTTACCACTATCTTCTCCCATTGGGTGATTACCAGCCTGGAGTTTGCCCTGTTTCAATCCTGATTCAGAGAGAGGGAACTGGTATCTGCAGAAGCAGCACACTCTTCAGCTGTTTAAATTGTTGAAGTTTTTACTGTGGCATCACAGGGCAGAAGCAGAAATGAAGTTACCACAACTGAACACATTCAGGCTGACATATGACTCGCAGCCCAGATGAATGAGAGGATAGAGATAAAATTCCTTGGAACCTGTGATCTGCTGGTTGCACTTACTTGGCTGTTCAGAACCAAAGCAACTGAAGTGTGGTGGCACGCAGCGTCACAGGCTGTGTCCCCGGGGCTCTGCCCCAGACCTGGCAGGCTGTGCTGGGCTGGTGCAGGGGGATTTGGGTGCTGCTGACCGCAGGGAGAGTGCAGAGTATGCTGCTGGAGCAGGGGGGATGCTCTGCCCCCGGCAGCACCACCGTCACCTGCTGCTTTCCTCTGATTTTTCAGCGCCGACTCCTGTCACTGACATCCGCACGGATAAAGTTGAGCAGAAGAGCATCTCCTTGTCGTGGCAGGAGCCGGGCTTCCCGACCGCCAACGGCACCGAGTATGAGGTCAAGTACTACGAGAAGGTAGGCTCTGGGGACTAGCTCTGGCTCTCAGTCGTGCCCCAGCCCTCCCCGGCCGATTCCTGGCCATTTCCCTCGCCAGCCAGGTCTGCCCCTCGGGAGCGCGGGCTGCTGCGTGTGCCGGGGTGGGTGCTGCATGTGCCGGTGCTGCTGGTTGCAGTCCACCACCCGCCGCATGAAGATTGAGTGGTGGGAAAGGGAGGGAATGCATGTCTGTGGACGGTGCTGTTGTGAAGATTTTACTGGCACCTGAAAGTAAGAGGAGTGCTTCAAATGGGGCCATTAAGGTCTTTTCTTCTCCAACAGTGTTATGCAATCAGCTTATGCAACTTTTGGGAAATTTGGATTATTTGTAGAGTTTATGTTGATTAGTGGGTTTTTTACCCATCTGCGCAGCAAGATTTCATCCAGTCCTAATGTTGACATCTCCCTGGGAGAAACAGTAAAGCTAATAATTTTCATTCATTCTTTTTTTTTTTTTTTTTTTAAATGCGTTGGCTGGCTTTTTTCAAGGACATTAAAAATCTGAGGTTTGAGTGCTTGCCATTAGCCAGCTAGACAGGGACTGCTAAACCATACTGGGTTTCTAAATCTTTGACGAGATAACACCTGTATTCATAGCCTGCTCTCTGGGAAAGTGTTGGGCCTTGTGGTCTTCACTGGTTTAGGACTGAGGGCCGCTGAATCTGTGATTTAGGTAAGCTGTGAGTGGCCTTCCACACAGGAGGGGACAGAAACAAACATTTTTCTGACAGTCTCTTAATTTTAAAAATAGCTGTTATTTGACAGGTGTGGTGGGCTGAGAATTTTAGAAGAAATGCCGGTGGGCAGGGAGCAGGGACAATGCTCTAAATCAAAATAAATGCAGTTTATGACACAGTTCCGCAAATTACCTTATCTGCGTGTGCTCAGGCTCGTTATGAAACTGATTACACGTCAAGCAAACTGTGCAGGTGACATGTTGGTGTTCTGTATTTAGAAACAAGCTACCTTGAAGCTGATTCATATTAATGTCATTTTCAGTATCTGATAGATTTGAAAGGAGGAATCTGTGGGTGAGGGTGAATGCTGAAGCCTGAGACCGTAATTCCTGTGCAAATGGGCTGCAGCAACAAGATACTCGGGGCATATGAAATGAGGAAACGTCCTGCTTGGGTAGGGAATTCAAACTGTAGTTTAGCAATTATTGACTGAAAAAAGGTTCTTGATGCTGACACAAAAATCAACTTAGTTCTTAATCTTTGCTTTTAAAGCCATACTTTAACTGTGGAGATTCAAGGGGGAAAGCGTATCAAATGGAAAATACATTTCACAGCGACGTCTTGGCCCTCGGAGCGGTGCGGTGAACGGCTGCTGCCTGTGCCCTTGCCAGATCGCAGGGCTGGGACGCTCGTCGGGGCTAGTCTCTGGCGTCATGAGGATGCAGCGTGCGCGCATGGGATCCGAGAGAGGCTGGTGCTGAGACTGTGGAAAGTGGCCTCAGATAACGCCAGTCTGGGACTGTGGCAACACCGGCCTCGTCTTCTTGCCAGGAAGTTTGTTCAGAAGTACCTGACATGGCTGAGAAAATGATCTCCGATAGTGGCTGCACAGTAGCACACGAAGCATTGCGGGAGCTCTAGGGGGATGCTGGGGCTTGTTTTGCTTTGCAGACCACGGGAACCAGAGGCACAGGGGTCTGGGCTCTGGCATGTGAAAGCAGCGCAGGTAGCCCAGCAGTCCCACTGGCCGTCTAGCTGGGCAGAACCCACCCTGCCTTCCCTGTCTCCATCAGCGGCTGCAGGAGGGGGGGCTGCCCGTCGTGTTCTCCCTTAGTCAAAGCGGAAGGATCTGTAGGTTGCAGGGCAAGTGAGTAAAATCCTTGGGACCAGGACTGTTGGCAGACCCGCCTGCCAGCTTTGATTACCCAGTGTGTGCTAATACGTGTGTATTTACTCCAGGGCTCAGGCGGCTGTAGCAGGGGAGCAGGAAGGGGCAGGACGGTGCCAGCAGCCGAGCCCCAGCGCGGGGGCAGGCAGGAGGAAAGGAGCCATGCAGGGTGGCACAGCTGCTCCCCACCACCCCATCCTCTGCCTGCCTTCATAGCGCATCACCTGGCTCCATCTGCTATTTCATGTGACCTTTCCATGTAATTTCTATTAATGAGACATCTAGTAAATGTATTCTTTCTGTTGAAGGCTTTATGTTTAGATAGACTGTCCTGATGGGACCCAGAGGTGAGGCAAAGATACAGCTGTGCAGCGCCTGCTCTGTGGCGCAGCTGTCAGTCCAGCTAGATTTCTGGTATTTCATTATTTCACAGGATCAGAGAGATCAAAGCTACTCAACTGTGAAAACCACGTCAACGGCCGTGACGGTCAATAACCTGAAGCCTGGCACCCTCTATATTTTCCAAATCCGGACATCTTCCTCGCCGGACTACGGAAACTACAGCCCTAGTATTGAAGTGGAGACGCTGGCAGAGTGTAAGTGTTGGCAAGGCTCGTCTTCTCTTACGCACGCACCTGCAGACGTGAGGCTCTTTGAGCCAAGCCGTGGGGATGCTGCTGCTCCTGCCCCAGATGCTCCTGGTTTTGTGGAGCAGCATCTGTTCCTCTGGTTCTGCCGCTCTGGGTCTAAGAGCAGGTACTTCCCAGGACTTGCTTTTAATTGCATTTTCCTCTTTGATTTTAACAAAACTGCTGCTGCTGGCCTGCCTGTCCTGGAGGTGTCTGTCCTCACTCTTCTCAGTGCAGCATCAGTGAGGACAGCCAGTCTCTGGCTCCTCTCTGGTGTAGAGACTGGCGACAGTCTCTGCTCTTCGACTGAGATTGCCCAAGAAAGTGCTTAGCAGAGCAAGAGTGACTGAGGGTTGTTTTGACTTGGTGTGATGTTGGTGCCAGAACAGGACTCAGCAGGTCCTTTTTGTGGGGCCACCAAACAGGCGCTGGAAGGGAGTGAGCATCACTCCCTGCTGACGTAACGGCCAAGGGCACGATCCTGCCCATGTCTGCGATGCTGTGCAGCCCACAGCGGGCGCTGCTGAGACGGGGTGGCCAGCTGCACCGTCTGCAGCAGAGGAGGCAAGGCCAGCCTTGGATTGAGCTGGCCTTGGATGTGTGCCCCAGATAGGAGATAACTGCTTACCCCCACTGCCGGCCTGGCTCATGAGACACTTGGCTTGTTAGCCGCTTGGCTGAATAAGGTCAGCCAGCACCAGTGTTATTTGCTGGGGCTTTTCCTTTTCAGTTTCCATTCATAACTATAGTCCAGAAGCATCTTATTTCACTGACTAAAAGAGGGCTTGGAGAGATGGTAGGGCTTCAGCTTAATAATCCACCCTGGCTAGAAATGAAAGCCCTGAAATGGCTGGCTCAGTACGACTCCCACAGATTGTGTTTAACAGGGCTTTAAATTGCATCCATTTGCCACACAGAAGACATTTTCAGAATGAATTGAAGCCAATAAAAATTTTATATAGAATTTAGCTTTCTAATACCCCTGTTTGCAAAAGCAGGAAGGAAGGGATTAATGTGATGAAGGAAAACTATTTGTAAGCCATAAATTTTAATATGTCCCTCTGATAAACAGAAACCTTTCCTCAGTGCTGATTAACAAAACCAGGAGCCTAGTGTGGCAGCGCTGGGGTTGCTCTGTCCGCACCTGCAGTGTTGCCCTGCACGTTGGTCTGATTGCACCAGCTCGAGCTTTTAGAACTGAACCAGAATGTGAATTGCTGTGAGGATGGTGAAATGTAGCCTGGCGCTGCAGGTGAATTGTCCCACAGCCTTGCTGGAGGACACAGGTCAGCACTGGGAGGAGCAGCCGGGGCTGCCTCATGCCTTGGACCTGCCCCAGGGCACGTTGCCGACCCACTCTGCTTGCCTCCCACAGTGACGGTGGCCTCCAGCGAGCAGAACCCCGTCCTCATCATCGCAGTGGTGGCCATCGCAGGGCTGACGGTGCTGGTGTCCATGGTGATTGGCATGATGGTCTGGAGGAGGTGAGCGGAGCCGCAGCTGAGCTGGGGCATGGACCGAGGAGGTTTGGGGCAGGGGAGGAGGAGCGGACCGAAGCGAAGCCCCTGCAGCAGGGGCTCTTGGAGGCACGAGGCAGCGCTGGCTCTCAGCGTGGGAGCTGGGTTAAACTATGTGCTGGCTCCTCGAGCCGTGGGGCTGGACTCTGTTCCTGAGCTGCGACTTGAGGCTTTTATACCTAGCGAGGCACTGCTGCCCAGATAACGGTGTGCATCTTCACTCTCATTGCAGACAGTGTGGGTACAGCAAAGCCAGCCAGGATGGGGATGAGGAGCTGTACTTCCATTGTAAGTGAAGCCTGGCCACCGTGGCCAGTACAACTGTGTGGGGATCCCTGTATTTATTGCTATTAATAACCCAGCTTCTGACAAAGCAGCCCTGAGTCCTTCCTTTTGAAGTGTTGTCATCCTGTATTATCCCAGAGCAGGGTCTCAGCACAGTGAGGCTCTCTGGGGACTGTGGGCTTGACAGCTTCATAAGCCAGTGTCCGTCCTTCCAGCACACAGGTCACTGCCGTGCCAAAGGCAGTGGGGATGCTTTCAGCTTTCCACGGGGTGTATGAATTATTCCATCAGCTTTTCACAAACGGCTACAGGAGAATACAGCTTTGTTTTCTGGGGCTACTCTTGATTATTGAGCAGCAATAATTTTACAGACAACAGTTGTCAAAGGAAATTCAGATGTCAGGATTGATGAGTTTATTTGATTCCTGGCATATGCCCGTGAAGCGCACACGTGGTCTTCTGCTCCCCAAAGCATTTCAGAAGCAGCAGAGCCTGCATGCTTCTCGGATGCAGCTTGGCCATTTCACCTGGCTTTGAAGGGCCTCACGCTGCTGAGCTGGAAGGTTTTTTATGCAGGGCAAGGGGAGTGCAGCAGCCGTCTGTTCTTGGGGAGGCGAATGGAGCCAAAGTGGAAGGGAAGCCTTGTGTGGTGCGACCTCTTCCCAGAGCAATCTGGCTGTTTGCCTGTGTGCTGGTCCTGGACGGGCCAAGCAGCTTGTGCAAAACGTCCGTTGTCCTCCTTGCCTTGCCCAGGGAGAGTAGGAGACGTGGCAGTGCTCTAGCAGGGGCCTGGTGAGCGGCAGAGCTGATGTGCTTTGGCTGTTGTTTTGGCCGTTTGTTTTCAGGAAACGTGAATTAGGGTTTTGAGGAAGCCCCAGCAAGCGGGTGGCTGTTTCTCCTCTGGAGCTTTGCAAGGGCTCCTGTAAGCGGGTCAGCCTCGTTCCGTGCAGTTCTCCTGGACATGCTCCCGGGCAGGGTCGCTCTCCATGCAGCAGATGGTAGGCGCCTGCAGGAGGTATTTTGCTGCCCATGCTACTAGTCGAGGGGACCTGGAACATGGCTGTTGTTCATTGTTATAATTACCACTCCTAGAGGTCTCGGGGACAGAGATGATTTGGATACTCGAGGATTAGCACGGGTGGCAGATAGGCTCAGTCTAGGAGGAGGCTGCGCTAGAGTGAAGGAGCTACTCTCCTTTAACCCAGGGGTTGTGGCAGTGGAGCAGAGCGATTAGGTTCATTTAATCCCGCAAGAAATCTAGCAACCTTAAAGCCAAATCTTTTGCTTTGCTTATAAAAAGGTGGGAAGTTAGACCTGCCAGCAGACCTGGAGATGGATAACTGCGAGGGTGTTTCCTGGGATGGATGGGCGGGAGCTCTGCCAAGCCTTTCTCATGCGCTCTTTCTGCCCTTCCTGCAGTTAAAATACCAACCAGGAGGACGTACATCGACCCTGACACTTGTGAAGACCCCATGCAGGCCGTGCACCTCTTTGCCAAAGAGCTGGATAACGCTAGTATTAAAATTGAGAGGATCATTGGGACAGGCAAGTTCCTCCTCGCTGGCCCCTTTGTGCCGGCGGCTGTGCCGTGGGCTGTGCGCGTGCCCAGCCGGAGCGCTCCCCTCTCGCCCCGGCACGCAGGGCCACGGCAGCGCCGTGACGTTGCTGCTGCGGTCCTGCCCGAGCCGCAGTGCCGTGGGCGCGTGCCGGCCCTCCCGCTGCTGCCCGCAGGCTCTGCCCACCTTGCCGGCATCTCCCAGGGCAGCTCCTCGTCCTCTGGCACCATCAGTGGTGTGGACTTTTGCTCTTGTCTCAGGGAGGGTACCTGCTTGCAGTGGGGAGATGGGAGGGGGGCTGGTGAGTATTTTGTTCAGGAGCTTGATTTTGCATTCCCGTTTATTTTTCTGAGGCCCTAAGTACAGCCAGCTGAGTGAGGCACAGACCAGAAAGCATCAGCAATTATCTGCATCTGGGCAGTTTGACAGCAGCATGAAAACTATTTATAAATATGTGAACCTAATGATTTATTGATTTTCATCAACTTCACTGCCTAAAACTTAAAAGCAAATTAAAATCCCCTCACTGGGCCCTAGAGCCTTAATTGCTAATGTGTGCCAGAACATGGGAAACACGATGATTCTTTGTTGTTTCTTTTCCTAAAGATAAATTCAGCTGCAGAAAAAGAAGAGGTGGAGGAAGGGAAGAGGGGAGGGCTTGCCCACCAGCTTAAAGGACAGTGTTGAAGGGAAGAGGACACTGAGGAGAAGAGGAGGTTATCTTTGTAGCTGCTGAGTGGAGCAGCTGAGACTAATCCCACATACCTTTCGGAAGCAAATTGGTCAGGAACACATTAAATATAAGGAATTTGGGAGTACATTTGTCTTACTGCTGACCTAACAAATACCTGGCTTTGAAATCAATAAAGCTTTTCATAGCTACACATTTTTTGCTGTAAAGCCAATATTAGCCTTTTATGTTATGAATTTGGTAGCTCCTGTTGTGTCAAGCATGTGGCTGTGCAGAGTGGGATACTCTGCCTCAAAGACTGCAGAAACCCTCCTGGCCCTGCTGTGCTCTGTTCCATGAGAAGCAGATCCTGTGTGTGCCGAGCCGGGAAGCAGAACGAGCCAGGCCCAGGGAGCATGAACTTGGTGGCTGGGGGTTAATCTTCTTTTCATGGGAAAAAGCGCAATGTGCACTTGAGCAGAGCATGGAGAGAATGGCTTAGAGATGTAGGAAGAGGAAGAAGAAATTGCATTGCATTATCACACGTTTTTAGTGTCACATGCTGATGCTAAACTTGTGTGAAGGGTTGTGTGTTCAGCAAAGGTGGGGGAAGATCGTAAAACAGACTCTGCGGGGGAAACTTGCAGCCACACAGGGCTCCGTGTGTTTCTGAGTTTATGGATTGGCAAATCCTCTGATTAACGATGGGAAAATCTTGCTTGTCTACACAGCAAGACACATCACTTGTGCTACAGGAATGTACTTTGTGGTCCCAAGGCAAAGAAAATATCCCCTAGAGGGAAGCTGTGAGGGATGTCCTGCTGTGGCTGCGGATGCTGTTTAACTTGTCTCTCTGCTACGCAGGAGAGTTTGGAGAAATCTGCCGGGGATGCCTGAAGCTGCCCAGCAAGCGAGAGCTGCCGGTGGCAATCCAGACCCTGCGGGCAGGGTGCTCGGAGAAGCAGCAGCGCTCCTTCCTGGCGGAGGCAAGCACCATGGGCCAGTTTGATCACTCCAATGTCATCCGCCTGGAGGGGGTCATCACCAGAGGTAAGGGGGGTCCCAGGCCGTACGGCATGGGGGGGCAGCCTGAGCCACACGCAGTGGAGGAGGGCTCCAGTGCAGGCAATGTGCTTAAGCTGTTGCTTTGGAGTGATGACCTGGTGCTGAAGGTGCAGTACTGTTGCTCTCTGGAAATCAGGCATTTCCTCATGTATTAGCTATTTTAGCATTCTGATGATTAATAAAATGCTTACAGCTAGGTGAATAAATCCAGGTAGTAGCTTAGCAGCAAAACTGTGTACTCTTAATAAAAGCAAATTGAAGTGAGGTTCTGTCAGTAAAACAGATGACTCTGCTCCCGGCTCTCGTGGGAGTGTGTGCGCTGAACTAGTCTGCAGATGCTGTAGTTAAATAGATATTCATGTAATCCAAAGAAACATGAGCATGTGTGCTGATTTTAACTAGCCTTTTTATTAGGTAAGGAAGTATTTCTGTCCTGAGTCTTGGGCTGAGCTGGTTGCTTTTGCATTCATTGGGTAGTGCCATCCTCCTTTATGATGTGGTTCAGTGTCCTGATAAAAGGAGCATCTGATACTGGGATACAGCGTGATCCCAGCTGGGAATGACATGAAAGCCTCGGACATACTGCTCATTGCAAACTGTCTCCCTTAATAGCCAGGCAGTGCAGGCTGACCATGCTGGAGGTTAGCACCCGGATTTCTAACACCTGCAGTGTTAGAACTGCCTGAGCAATGGGCGGGACTCACTCAGTGCTCCTTGTCTGTCCGTGCAGGGAGTACCATGATGATAGTGATGGAGTACATGGGGAATGGTGTGCTGGACTCTTTTCTCAGGGTAAGTGCTGTGGGAGCCGGTGGTAACTGCGGGGCTCTGCCACCCGCTTGGGCTCTGCTGGCAGTGCCCCCTTGAACTGGGCATTACTCACCTTTGGCTTTGCCGCCTCTTTTTTTACAGAAGCATGAGGGACAGTTCACGGCCACCCAGCTCGTTTGCATGTTGCAGGGGATTGCCTCTGGCATGAAGTACCTGGCAGAAATGGGTTACATCCATAAAAGCCTTGCTGCCCACAAAGTCCTTGTGAACAGCAGCCTGGCTTGCAAAATAACTGGTTTCAGACGGCCACAAGAAGATAAGATGGAGACCATCTTCTCCACCACGGTAAGCTGCATTTCCAAATTCTATTGTCAACATTCCCTGAAAGCAAAATGCTGACAGAGCGGCTACAAAACCTCCGCAGAGGTGGATCTTCCTGGCTGCATTGCACAGCCATGGCTGGGAGTGCTTAGACTGGGGCCTGGCATCACTAGAGAGGTTTGCAGCCTGCTCTGAATGCTGAATAAGGATCAAATCCAAAGGCAGCTAGCTTCCACAGGTGGAGTTAATAAGACATACAGCAATTCTACTCCAGAACCAGTATTTTTCCTAGGCTCCTGTTTCCTTCCTCATGTATGAATGTGGGCTCTGCATCTTAACAGCTTCTTTCTCAGCTGGCAGTCAAACGCGTTTAGCCAGGGAACTGCACAGGAGCCGTCCGGCACCATTCTTCCTCTGGCCGCAGCCCTGCACGCATCTGCACAAACTGGCAGAGAGGCAGCGGGTGGCTGGAGGCAGCCCTGGCAGCCTCGGGGTTCCTTATGTCTGTTTTATCACTTGTCATGAAATTCATGGTTTTCAATTAAGAACTTAAGTCCTGCTTGATTCACACTCACGCCTTGTCAGCTCTGCTAGCCAGTGTGTCTCCCAAGTGCCTGCATGCACCTGGAGAAGCTGCCTGGCAGCCCTTGGGTGCGGAGCCGTGGGGCTGTCCCTGCCCGCCGGGCTGGGCAGGCGCCCTGTGGGCCCCCGAGACCCCCACAGCCCCTCGCCGGAGCTGGATCTCTCTCCCCACTTCTTTCACACACTGCTTTGACGCCTTTCACGTGAGGGTGCCTCAATGCATTTTTAACTGCAGAGCAATAAGTTGTATGTCTTTTGGTACCCTGCATCTGCCTGGTATCAGCTGGGGCTGTTAGTGCATCACATTAACTGGGCATTAATATTTTAAAGAGCTTTGATTCCTCAACCAAATGAGCACTTAATGTTTGCAGGGAGCATTGGGCAGTGCCAAGGAGGCAGCAGCTGATGTGTGCTGCCTGCGGGGACGCGGTGCCTGTGTCCCAGTGCAGGGTATGGGCATCCCAGGGGGAAGAGCCTGTTTGCAGGGTTTGGCCTGTGCTCTGCCAGGAGCTGCAGTCATTTGCCAACTCTGACTAGACCGGTGGCAGAAAGAGTCTTGGAAAACTTTTTCGGCCATTATCACTAGCTGCAGGGAGGCACGCTCAGTGCGCTCCATAGGGAGAGCGCTAGTGTCCTGAAGAGTCCTTGGCAAAGCGTGACTCCCCCTCCCCGGACATGGTGAGCGTTGCCTGCAGAGCTGTAGCTCAGCCGTGGCTGTCGTGCCGCAAAGCTCTCGAGCAGAATTGCCCTGGCGCTGGCATGCCGCTGGGTACGGAGCAGCCCGCTGAGCGAGGGGGATGGAGAGCCCAGCAGGAGCCCTGGCTTCTCCCACCGCGGTGCAGCGGGGCTGTGGCTTTGGGGTCAAGGTCTCCCCTCTGTTAATTACAATTAGCTGTGGTGTCTGTCACCTGCTTCCCCTACTGCATCCAGAGGGCTCTGCAGATGCCGAGGTGTGGATTGCTAATTACAGGAGAGCAAGCAAGGGTGAAAGGACTGTGTGTTTGTGCAGCTCTGAAACGGTCTTCATTAAATATTAATGTATAAAATGCCATCAGCTCTTCCCAGAGACATTCTCCTCTCCCATTAATATTTCAAGACTCACACTCCCATGTAGTGTACAGTTGCATGGCCATTTTAAAACAAATTGAGGCAAAAGTTTTCTCTTCGTATTAAACCCACATGTGGCATGAGGGCTTGCTCAGTGTCGGCCCTGCGATGCTGGGCAGGGCGCGATGAACGGCCGCCCGGGAATCGCATGCATCGGCTACGTCCCACTGTGCGAGCACGTAATTTCTCCCCTTCTGCCTGTCCAGCGCGGGAAGAGCCTGGTGCTGTGGTCAGCCCCCGAAGCCATCCAGTATCACCACTTCAGTCCGGCCAGCGACGTGTGGAGCTTCGGCATCGTCATGTGGGAAGTCATGTCCTATGGCGAGAGACCCTACTGGGACATGTCCAACCAGGACGTGAGTCCCCGGCGGCCGTGCGGTAGATGACAACGTTGCCGTTGCTAATGGTGTGCAAGTGGCTCCGCGGTGCACGGCGGAGCTGGAGGAGCTGCTGCTGCTCCCCAGGCGGGGTGTGAGGAGGGAGGTTTTCCCCAGGGGTTTGCCTGCGATCTGCGTCGCAGTGCCTGACCCCGTCTTCTCACCTCCTCCGCCCTCCTGCCACTGCAGGTGATGAAGGCTGTGGAGGATGGGTTCCGCCTGCCCGCCCCGGTGAACTGCCAGCCACCCCTCCACCAGCTCATGCTCGACTGCTGGCAGAAGGACCGCAGCCAGAGACCCAAATTCTCGCACATCCACAACATCCTGAGCAAGTTGGTGCAGAGCCCGGAGCCCCCAAAGTGCCCCAACTCCACGTGCACCAGGTGACCACCCTCTTGCCTTGCTGCCTGTTGTTCTGCTTTGCCTGCCGGTTCCCACCTCAGGCGTGCCGTGCCCTGCTCCCTTCTCACCGCCCCGTTTTGTTGGCAGGTCCCACAGCACGTCCATCCCCCTCACTGAGCGTACCTTCTCAGCCTTCCCATCTTTCAGCTCCGTAGGCGAGTGGCTGGAAGCGATAGAAATGGGCAGGTACAAAGACAACTTCACCGCTGCGGGCTACTGCTACCTGGAATCAGTGGCCCGGATGACAGCCCAGTAAGTGAACTGGTTTCCTGGCTATAACCGCATGTCGCTGGGTGCAGTGTGAGTGAGCTCTGCTTTGCAGTTACAGACAGGCGTCACTAAACAAGAGGACAGATATTCCAAAACATGTCTGTAAGAGCTCGCTGGCATGGGTTGGCCTGTGTGTGTTGTGCACCTCAGTTGCTGATTTTTGAAGCTGAGATTTAAACCTGGAGTTTGAGACTTTAACCTCTCGTTTCTGACAAGAGTAGTGTTGCCTGTCCCTTCCAGAAGGCAGAGTCAAATCTAATGCAATTCACTGATAACCTGTTACGCAGGCAGCACAGGGTGGCAGGGTCAGGAGCTGTCACGCGCCTGGCGTGCTGCAGGCTCATGTTACCCCTGGATTCCCAGTCAGGGTCCGTATTGCTTTGGCTGGGACAACAGGTTGGGGATTTCTTACTCTGGCAGGTCTGAAAGCTGTGCTGCCCTTGCCTTGGAGCAGTTGGTGTCGGGGCACTTTACAGTTACGGCTTGTTTTTCATGGCTGACGCGGGGCTCGTTTTGCAGAGATGTCCTCAGCCTGGGGATCACGCTGGCGGAGCACCAGAAGACCATCCTGAGCGGGATCCAGACTCTCCGGGCCCAGGTGATACAAATGCATGGCCGAGGCGTGCAGGTGTGAAGCAGTCCCCCACAGAGGTGCAGAGCACTGACCCGGCGCTCCCGGGGAGGAGACAGCCAGCCGGCCCCGAACCGGACCAAATCTCTGAAACCTCGTGGTTTCGGGTGGGATGTAGGAATCACTGGGCTGCTGCCAAGCAAAGTCATTCCATGTGGCAAGAGAGCAGGGCTTCCTGTCCCCTGTGCTGGGGAAGCCAAGGATTCCTGGGACACATGTGGTGTGCCTAGGTGGATGTGGCTCTCCCTAGCACTGTTTTGTAAGATGAGTCAAACTGTAATGATGCCATTTCATATGGTAATTAGGTTAACAGGGTGGATGGACGTTTGTGCACTGTCTTAATCCAGAGCTGACAGCATTTTCCTATCTAGCATCCTACTAGTGAAATCCATGGGTATTTTTATACAAGCTGACATGTTCTAGCAACCCCACAAGGAGCTTTTATTGCTTTTATTTTTAGAGACCAGAGCACAGCTCACACCCAGCGCCCAACTTCTGGAAGGTGACTTTCCCCATCTGCTATGTTGAAGGAAACTGTTTCCCAGCCATGTCCCTTCTGCTCTAAGAGTTACTTCACTGAGTCTTGACAGCACAGTTGGTGAACAAAAACAAATATTCTCCACTAAAGCGCAGAGCAAGTGGTGCTGAATGTTTCTAAGGCTCTCTTGGCAAGACAATTTCAGGGGAAGAAATGAAAAGCTTTGAAGAGAGCCATAGCCAATAGGTCAAGCAATGGAGTCCTTGGGCTGCCCTGCTGATGCTCTCAGCCTTTGCTGCTTTTTGTGCAGGTCCTGGTCCCTCGTTTTACTGCTGCAGCCCAGCAGTGGGGCAGGAACTTACAGACGAGAACAACAGCAGGCAGTACACTGCTGCCCACATGCAGATTGAGCCCACAGGCAGAGAGACCTGCTGCAGGTGCAGGACTGATGCTAAAGCATCTGTTGCTACTTTAGCCTCTCTTCCCTGCTTCCCGCCTTGCAGTTTTGTGGGCAGAGCATCCCGCATCTTGCCTTTGCTGGCTTTGTGGGCAGCTGTGATGGTCTCTGGCTGCTGTCCTAGGCTGCGGAGCAAAGCAGGCAGAGCGTCGCTGCGTGCCCACAGCTGTGGGCTGACTCCAGAGCCTGGGGACTCCCTGCTGTCAGCTGAGCTGGACCATCCTGCTCAGAGGTGTCTGCTCTGCCTCACAGCAGTAGATGGACGAGTGCTCTTCCGTCTCTAGGTCTGGAAGCTTTTGCAAGGGAAAAGGTTTTATGAACAGCACTAATTCAACCCACAGCGGCAGAAAGGAACCTCCCAGTTCAGCCAGAAATGGGATGAAAACTTGGGAATTGGTTTGGGATCAGAGAGACAGTGGGCATGGCTGTGCTTTCAGGGGATGCTTCCCGTGTCCGCTCTGGCAGTGTGCCCCTGGCCACTGGAAGGACCACCTCAGCTGTGGTCAGTGCTCTTCCCCTCCTCCTCTGGCTGCCCCGTGCCTGGTCTGGAGCAGGGAAGCGAAGGGCAGCAGTCTGCCTGGAGCGTCCCGCTCTGCTGTGCCAGGGCGTCAGTTTTCCACTGCAGGTTGATGGCTGTGCGGAGGTCCATGCCAGAGGGCTGCAGTGCCAGCGTGCCCCACAGCACCCACAGCCTCTGCAGTGGGTGCACCCCGGGTCTGGGTGTTTGAGGTGGCTGCACGGGCTGTGCTGAAGGGACCGCACACCCTAGCCGGACCTTGGGCAGAACTGACCATTACATCCATGGGATCCCTGAAATCCTGCTGTGCAATCTGGGCAAACCAGGGCACATCAGCACTTTATTTTCTTGCAGACGGTAGCGCGGTACTGCCTGCCTTGCATGCTGGCAGTTCCCACTGATGCAGGCCTGATCCCTGATGGAAGACGTAAATAGCATCTGCTTAATAATACAAGTTTCCTTGAAGTTAGTTAATTAAATGGGTCTTTGCAGCCTTGTACAGAGTTTTGTAGGCCTTTTATTATCATCTGTAAGTATTGCAAGTGAATTATTAATGATAAAAGGCAAAGATTTACAAAGGGAATGAATGCTGTGGGAGATGTTCACAGGGCGGCTGGAAATCTGTTTGAGTCAGATCCTCCTATTTGCCTGCTCTGAGAGGATGAGGATCTAAATGATGACTGAGCGAAGGGCCCTAAGGCAGCCTCTTGCGGGGCCGGCATGGCACCTGCCCTGCCCGGGCGTCTTCCTTCTCTCCCGGTGGCGTGGTCAAGCAGAGCGGCGTGACCATAGGTGCTGGTGGCTGTCCTGGGCGTGCTGGCCATTGCAGAACGTGTTACCGTAGGGATCCAGCTTCTGCTTAGTAAAGCCTCGTTCGCGGTGGTTTCCTTTTCACCGGCCCTTGGGCTCTTCTGGCTCAGGTGTGTGGCCAGGCTGGGTCCAGGAGTGCTCAAGACTGACAAGATTTCCCTTCTTTCAGATATTTTAGCTTGATTGCATTAGAGATCAGAACTCTCTGCCTGAACTTCACCAACCAGTGGTCTCAAGAAGGTGCCAGCTAATGTTGGTTTATCAATTTTCTGCCTTGTGCCGGTGTTCCCAGGCAATGCCGTGGTGAGCACCACGCACTCCCAGCGGCTCCCTGGTCCCGCAGCCCCGGCGGGGCAGGCTGGCGGAGAGAAGGGCACCTTCCCCTACGCAGGGTTTGAGCTCCCGGTAGCAAACACTAATGGGAGTGCGAGTCAGCACAGACACGCGTGCACAGAGCTCAAGGCAGGAACACTGGCCCTGCGGGACCCAGAGCTGTCCCGGCAGCGTGCCTGGCGGTGGGCGAGTGCCAGGCGCGCTCTGGGGAGTTTGCTGCTCTCCGGGGTAAACAAGCTCTCTCATTCCTGCCACCTCTGCAGTTTAAACAACATTCCCCAATATCACTTGGTTAGTTTTCTAACACAAATAATTTGTCTTTAAGTTTGGCCCTTGTCTGGTCTGGTTGGTCACTCACAATCCTGCTGTTTCACACCAAGAAGAGTAATAATGGTGAACAGAAACCTTCATTGGGTAGAAATGCCAGATCCCAAGGATCAAGTGCAATTTGTATGCTCTTTATGTTTACATTTTATCTATAGAGAAAGTATATTATAGTTCTTCAGGCAGGGAGTTGAACCAACTTGATTCCTAATCCTCTCCCCCATCTCCGGGCTCTTGTCCTGTCCACCGGGATTTCCAGCAGCCTCTGCATCGGGATGCAGGGAGCTGCGCTGGGGTGTCACTGCTGGAGGGGCTGGCTCCAGGCTGGTGCAGCTGCTTTCAAGGAGATCTGGGGAAATCCAGGGCTTGGTGATGAGGTGACAGAGTCCTTCGGAGTCTGGGAAGCAGACCTGGCCATCAGCAGGCAGCAACATGTTCCTCTTGAACCCTCCAGAACAGGCCCTGTCTCCAAAGTTACAGATGTGAGGAGGGGCTGGCTCTGCGCTAGCTGGAGAGAGATAAACCTCAGCACAGCTTATCTAGAGTCATGGTAGTTTCTCTGGGCTGCAGTGACCGGTGGCTTGTCGGGAGCCGTGGGTCCCTTGGGAAGCTGTGTGGGGGTCCCTGTCCTCCCACAGCAGCTGAGCTCTGCAGGGGGCTGGCAGCCCCGCAGCCTCCTGCGCCATTTACTTGTGTAATTGTGTGATGCTCGCTCTGTGCTAGAGTACTCCAAGTGAAAATGAGACCATCTTTCAATCATTCCTTTAGTGTTTCCCCCACTGAATTAGGCTCCCATACTACGTTCTCTAGCACAATCAGAATTGAAGGTATAATTTCTTTGTCTGAGTCTCTCTAGGTATTCCCCAAAGAAATTCAGTGTTTAATTACTTTTCTGACTTTGGTGAGCGACTCGGATGTGGTGTTTCAGAAAGCTGTTTCTTTTAGACAGCATGGCTCTGTGGAAGGGACCATGCTTTAACTCAGCAGAACCAAGAGGTATTTGCTTTCCTGGCCTCTCCTTCAAGAAAGAAAACAAAAAGCACATAATGGAAGTATGCTTTCTAGCCTAGCTTGTTGCAACAATAAACACTTTTAATTGAGCTCCTTATCAACACTGAAGATAATAAAATGAGCAGATTAAGCTATAGATTGTTGTTATGATTTTAAAATTAACTTGCATTCTCTCAACACCTCTTTGGGGAAGTATTCAATGCCTTATAATTGAATTAATTAGCAATGCTGTTTTGAAGCTGCTCAACCAAGGGAAATGCCTGAAAAATTTCAGTCTCTTTGCCCCTCCAGCCTCGGACACAGTGCAAGGCTCCTTCCTCCTCCCCTGGCTGTGGGGAAACCCTGATCACATCAGTGCTAACAAGGGCTCAGGACTGTCCGAGCACACTCACCTTCTCTGCAGCAGTGGTAGCGTTAATTGGCTTGTTCAGAGAAGAAAAAAGAACTAATGTTTTGTAATCTGTGGGCTTTGCTGGAGCTAATAGATACAGTTATGAGAGGATTAGATTTTAGATGTTCAGGCAGAGTGGAGGCCGGTTACGAACTGGAGGAGCAGAGCGAGCGTGCGTGTCTAAGCTCATGTGCGGACAGGACCGTCGGCTGTTCTTGCGTGGAGGGGAAGCACCTGGAAAGCAACCCTGATCCCTCAGCGTGTCCCGTTGGCTGTCGGTGCCTGGCGACTGTAAAGCAGGATGCTGTTCCCATCGTGTGTCCTCTGGAAAAGCAGTGCGGCGGCTGTGCCCATCAGCAGCCAAAGGCTGGGTGCTTTTGGGAGGGTAGCGACACGGACCCGGTGTCCAGCGTTTGGGAGGCTGGACGGGGCACTTTGCTGCCCTGATACAGTAGCAGGAAACCTGTTTCTGGGCTTTGCTTGGTATTCCTTGTGGGAACATCGGCCCGGCATGGCTTCTCCTGGGGTGGCTGGAGAGCAATTCCTGCTGCTCGCTGCGGCTCCGCTCCACAGGCGAGGCTCTTGCAGGAGAAGCCCTTTCCCCTGAGCTCCCTTGACCACGGTCCCCAAATCTCCCCTCCTGTGTTGCACCTTGTTTTCCGTGAGGTCAGAAGGACGGCTT